TTCTTTCTTTCTTTCTTTCTTTCTTTCTTTCTTTCTTTCTTTCTTTCTTTCTTTCTTTCTTTCTTTCTTTCTTTCTTTCTTTCTTTCTTTCTTTCTTTCTTTCTTTCTTTTTCTTTCTTTCTTTCTTTCTTTCTTTCTTTCTTTCTTTCCTTCTTTCTTTCTTTCTTTCTTTCTTTCTTTCTTTCTTTCTTTCTTTCTTTCTTTCTTTCTTTCTTTCTTTCTTTCTTTCTTTCTTTCTTTCTTTTTCTTTCTTTCTTTCTTTCTTTCTTTCTTTCTTTCTTTCTTTCTTTCTTTCTTTCTTTCTTTCTTTCTTTCTTTCTTTCTTTTCTTTCTTTCTTTCTTTCTTTCTTTCTTTCTTTCTTTTTTCTTTTTCTTTCTTTCTTTCTTTCTTTCTTTCTTCTTTCTTTCCTTTCTTTCTTTCTTTTCTTTCTTTCTTTCTTTCTTTCTTTCTTTCTTTCTTTCTTTCTTTCTTTCTTTCTTTCTTTCTTTCTTTCTTTCTTTTCTTAATTTTCTTCTAACCGAGCATACGTCTCCCCTCTTAAACTTTGCAATTATCTGCTAGTCCTTTCGATATATAAAAGAATTCAACGCAGTAATATAAGGCCAAGTGTTTTTTTTTTCAGTACAGGTCACGTATCCAGGCCCAGGCTCCTCCCTTCCAAGTCCAAGTCCTTTTAAGAAAAAAAAAGAAAAGCTCGACCACGTTCAGACTGCTGCTAGCTAGCCTAGGCTGCTAACAGTCTCCGCCTATATTTGTGGTCTGGGTTATTTGCGTCACTTTCGTGACTGAATACTGGTGTTTGTGCCATTTCTGGCTTAATGCTTCCCTCCGTATCAAACCGCTCGTCCTGTTGTCACTGGTGCAAGTCTTCCTTCTTCATTCGTGGTGTTTCCTGTTTGTTCTGTCTCCCTTTGATCTGGCTAGGCGTATCTCGAAGGAGAGCGAGCTTCCAAACACAACGACCTTTCGGCCACCATTTATTGTTTTAAAATTTTGAGTATTTTAATTTTCCCAAAAGTACTGAAAACAGTTTTTGAATGTGAATAGTTCCGAAATGTGAAAATTTTCCGCGTATGACCATAGTGGTCTTATAGTTGTCTTCCTGTAATATGAACGGGTTAGTCATGTATTGGATAAGTGTGTGGGAGTTTGTGTGGAGTCTTAAGCGAGTCCAGTCGTCATTTGTTATTATGTGATCGGGTTGTGTTGATAGCTAAGCTCCGGTGTACGTAAATACCATATAACCGGACCGTCCAGCTCACGCTTTGAGATCCAAATGATCGGCGATGAGAATTGTTGTGGCATGTTGGGCAACGAACTCAAGTGCTCTCTGTGGGAATGGGTTGGGGGGTTAAACTCATAGTGCATCCGAAAGATTTAGGGAAAGGTGGGGGGAAGGGGAGCGGGAGGCCATTCAGTCAATTCTCGTCGTTGCCGTCTTGCTGGATTCTAGTGTGGCTTTTTGCCGGGACTATGTGTATCACGTTACCAACCTTTGCTATCATCCCAGTGATGGGGTGGTATTGGAGGCTATGCGCTCTAGTCCTGTCATTATCGAGTCACTTGTATTCCCTATTTGCTGTCAGTCATATTTTTGTTATGAGTCCTGTCGGTCATGTGCATGTTGTATGCATGTTGTGGAGTGGGATGGTTTTGTTTATGAATCCCCGGAGTATATGGACGCACCCTTCTACATACACACTTATGAATGACGAGGTCCGCCCAGGACACTGCGATTGGACGTTCAGTTTCCGTCTTAACCTTTAAAACGCGGAAGTGTAAGTGGCAGGGGTCTCAGCTCGGTCGACGCGTGCTTAATATTAGAGCATGTGTGCGCCTTTACCAGCTGCAGAACATCTACAACTGGCTGTAACCCCAAACCCCGACACACTGAACCTAGGTCTGACGAGACAGTGCATTCTACGTGTCGTTGTTTCCGTCTTCTTTATATATTGCGGTGGCCAGCACAAAGCTCTGTCGCTGCAGAAAAGCAACGCTACCCTCTGCAATAAACTCATTTCGTACCGAAAATGTATCCTATATACACCAACAAACACAAGTACTGTTTACGAGCGAGTACGCAATGTCGGCGGCCGCTGCTTCCAGAATAAGAATCAACACGTATCGCACAACGCAGTGGGAATACCGAAGTACAGCGGCACCACCCTCTACTTCGATCAAAGTTTACCAGCTCAACCAAGTTTGAATAAAAAGTTGCGTAGTGTGTGTGTCGGCGGAGCTGACCCCATGGGCCTGGAAACGTGATTTATTTCGTTTTTTTTTTTTAACATTTGTAAGGATGAGCTATTCGAGAACCGAATAAGCCCCCCCCCCCCCCGGCCCCTTCGCCACCCCACCATCCACCCGACAAACCGAGACGCTTTACCCCAGAAATATTTAGTCAGAAACCGAACAGTTAGATTTGTTTTTTTCTGGTGGACTTCAGTCATAACTAAAGGGGACGAAGAAAAGAAACATCCACTTCAATTTGTACTCCCCACTACAACCACAACAACTGCTCACTTCAAACCCAAGATATAATCTACTGACAGCAAGGCAAATAACCTTTTCCCGCCAGTGACTCAAATTGTGGCCTAGAACGCAAGGTGCTATTTATATTATACTATAAACCGCCGTGGTGTAGCAGCTAGAAGCTCACCTACGGATCCGAAGGTCGTGGGTTCAAGTCGTTAACCGAAGAGTTTAAAGTCGGCAAGGTAAGACTCGCCATGCTTTTGCGCGAGTCTTCAGACCCAAATGTCACCGCTGTCCAGCCCGCTCTAAAGACTGGAACCAAATGGAGAGTCCTCGATGCGATAGAATCTGCTCAGAACGCACTAAAATTGAGAGAGATTATGGGTTACACACAAACCGACCGTCGAGGCCTAGGGCACGGGAAGGTCAATTGGTGGTCGAAGGCCTCTGCCAAAGAGCGCCGTGACATGGTAATACAAACGGTGAGGGACAACGAAAACGAGGTTCGGGTCCAGAAAGCAGCCCAACAGTCGCAGCAGGGCCATTGGGTCAGCCTGGAGAGCGCATTGCCAAGAGTACTCACATGGGGTGAGATCTGGCGGATGACCCCGCTGCGACTGAGCTTTATCGTTCGTTCGGCGTACGATGTATTACCGTCCGGTGTTAATATGGTTAAGTGGTCTGCGACCAACGATCCGACTTGCCCGTTGTGCAAATCGAAGCAAACTCTTTTGCACGTCCTGTCCGCGTGCAGGAAAGCTCTAGGTCAAGGCCGATATACCTGGCGCCACAACAAGGTGCTAAAGGAGTTAGCAGCCGTTGTCGACCAGGCTAGAATGAGGGCTAATGCCAGAGCCAGTTCTAGTATCGCCCCCATTCGTTTCCTCAAGGCTGGGCAGGTTCCAATTGGTAAGGTCAACAAAAACGCATTCGCTCCATCTGTGCTCGACTCTGCGAGGGACTGGTTACTGGCGGTTGATCTGCCAGGCCATGAACGGTATCCCGAGTTGATCCGTAAAACCGGCCTGCGACCGGACATCGTTCTCCATTCTGCGCAAAAACGGCAGCTCATCCTGCTTGAGTTGACGGTCCCGTTTGAGTCGCGTATGGAGGAGAATCATTTGTACAAGCTCGAGAAGTACAGTGATTTAGCAGCCGGTTTGAGGAGAAAACGAGGCTTACACAGTACGGGTTTTTTGCCGTCGAAGTGGGAGCGAGAGGCCTCGTTTCCACTTCGCTCTACAATGTGGTGAAAGAACTAGGATTGCGCGGTAATGAACGGAAACGAACACTCAAAAAACTGGGAGAGGCGGCTGAAAGGGCCTCTAGCTGGCTTTGGACGCAGCGCAACAACGTAGGGGACGGGCCTCGGTGAGCTGGTCCGGGTATCTAGTGGAAAAGAGTTTCTTATCCCTTTGAAAAGTCCATCGTGTACGAATTGTCTGCCAGTGTCCCTCTGCCAACTGCTAATAAAAGTCCAACATGTGTCCGGTAAACCAAAGTAAGCTTGTCGCTCGGTCGTCTAGGCATGCGGACTGTTTTAATTACGCTGTCGCGCCGGCTTCTTATCTCACAGTACCTCCTTCGAAACCACCAAGTCGTCTTGTCTCTGGCCGAAAGTATAACACCATCCGGTAATTCCGTGCAGCGGGGAACGAGCCCTGAGCGTCATGAACTCAGGTGGGCCCACCTCCGAATACGTCTAGGAATAGTGGGCCGAAACGTGTGTCGACGAGGATAATTTCTACTGAAGACTGGTAGATCCCCGCTGTACTTGCTCCCTGTGAGTTTATTCTTACTGACAGCAAGGCAAATAACCTTTTCCCGCCAGTGACTCAAATTGTGGCCTAGAACGCAAGGTGTTATTTATATTATACTATAAACCGCCGTGGTGTAGCAGCTAGAAGCTCACCTACGGATCCGAAGGTCGTGGGTTCAAATCAGAACGGTGTTGAAGTTTTTTTTTTTCAAAAGGACTTTAGCTACTAGGTCGACCCAGCCTTAAAGGGGTTCCAAGTAAAGTCATGGGAAGTAAAGGCGACAAGCGTGATACTGACCACATCACCCGCCAAGTGCCAGTTGGTTTATAAAACATAGATCTAGTTGTAGATGCTCAGTAAGCCAGAAGGGGTGGAAATAGGTCGTTCACTTTTACATAATATGCTATAGACCAATCGGCACTCAGTGGGTCATCATCAGGTGCCTTGCCGACTGGCGTGGACGATCATGCCTCTCCATACTCCACTATCTGCTGCAGCGTGTATCAGTTCGTGTGCCGATACACCTCCATGCAACAAGACTGTCAAGAATCTTCTCTCAGTGGGTAAAACCGTGAAAATCACGCCGGCCACTTTTACTTTCCAGTACATTTGCTGGCACCCATTTCAGGCTGAGTGAAACTAGGCACCAAAATAAATGACAAAATATACAAACAAATGAGAATTGAAACCTAAGACTTAGTGTAGTGCAGGTAAGTCAACAACTGGTTTACATTAAGATATTCTCAGAACGAACAACTTCCCACCTGCAAAGCTTTGGCGTGGGCTATCTTTCTCGTGTGAGCCATATAAAACTGTCGGACTGCCAGGATCAACATAAGTGCTCCCACAGACAGGAGGATCGGTCCTGTGATAGGGACAGTCTCGCCGATCAAATTGTGTACACCTGTGAAGAAATAAATTAAGCTGTACCCAGTAGCGCATTCAGATAATTAGTAAAATACTCAACAACAACAACAACAACAGCAGCAGCAGCAGCAGCAGCAGCAGCAGCAGCAACAACAACAACAACAACAACAACAACAACAACAACAACAACAACAACAACAACAACAACAACAACAACAACAACAACAACAACAACAACAACAACAACAACAACAACAACAACAACAACAACAACAACAACAACAACAACAACAACGACGACAACGACAACGACAACGACAACAACAACAACAACAACAACAACTACTACTACTACTACTACTACTACTACTACTACTACTACTACTACTACTACTACTACTACTACTACTACTACTACTACTACTACTACTACTATTACTACTACTACTACTACTACTACTACTACTTCTTCTTCTACTGCTGCTGCTGTTACTACTACTACTACTACTACTACCATCACCATTACTACTACCACCACAACCACTACCAACACTGTCACTACAACCAATACTACGAACAACACATATTACTTTAACTCCCGTAGCGTCTTAATGATGTTCTACTGTTTGGTAGCAAATTCTTCCGAAATTAACGAGTTATATCAGCCTGTGATTGAAAGCATCAAAGGGTGGTGTGAGACAAGGAAGTCTTTTCCCAGAGGGTTTAGGAGCATATGGTTCGTAAGCTGCCACATTAGACCATTTCGGGTAATATCTCTTGGCCTCCCTCTGCCTCTTCTACCACAATTACCGGTCTTCGTGATTTTCAACAATATGTTTAGTCTCATCAGATTACCTGTTCAGTTGAACTAAGTCAAGACAAAACATCATAGCACTCGGGACATAAGCGCCCTAACCCCATCTCAAGCAGCCAGAGAAGAGCTACAATTCCGGTGGTACCAGCAGTCTGATTGCATGTCTGTCTTGACCTTTCTCTGAGTGTTCAGCATTCTTAAATTTCTGTCTGGTGCTTTCAAGATATAATAAATCGCATGTCGACAGAAATCAAAAAGCTCAGAGCACGGCGTTTTTTTGGCCAGCCGTGCAGCTAGCCAAGAGCAGTCGACTAAGGGTCAAGCGTATGGTCCGGACACCATAGTCGTCAATGTAGCACTGCCATTAGCTATAGACTGCATAGCTAGATTCAGTCAAAATCAGATGTGCAGATCTGGCTTTTTCACTCGACACATCCAGCATCAAGCCCCTAAAAAAATTGGGTCACGGCTAGAACAAATTTTGAGGTTTTAAACAATGGATCAACATCATGGCACACGGGTTTAACCCATAATTGCTCCGTTCTTCATCTAACTCAAATCTGAGTCCGAGTGACCTCAGCACAGTGCACAGGCTCTGTAGCACCGGCGAGGATCCTAAAATACTTTGTGTGGATTTTTAACTCTAAATTTTGCACGGGCAGCACCGTTAGGCTATTCTTTTCGATTTCCAACTGCCAAGGGATTTTTTACGTGCGCAACATTGCACACGAGCGTACAATCTCACTACCCATAGATCAGAGGGAATTATTAGAAGTCCTAGTCCATGTGAAAAAAATCTCAGTCCTTACCGGGCAATGAACCCGGAACCTCTAGCACTCAAGGTGGACACCTTGCGTGGAGACCACGCAGCCCTCCTGGAAAGAAAAAAAGTTGAGAATCGTTGGTGTAGTCAGAGCGCCTGATATCCTTCCTAATCTACTGTAGAAAAGGTAAAGGAGTTGTCAACAAGAGAGATAAGACAATCCAATGGCACCTAATGATCTTTTAGTCAACGAAAGCGGACTGGTTATATAGACCGTCTGCAAACACTGTCTGCAGACTTACAGCTACAAGCAAACAGGACCCAATTAGAGGATGGCTTGGTGTGCCAGACATTACATTGTGTGCCAACAAAACAAGATCTTGGCAAACCAACACACATACCACCATTTGTTAAAATCTCGTGACGTCTTTTGTGAGGTAACTATGCTGCACTTCCACACTTCGTTGATTCTCTCTCTCTCTCTCTCTCTCTCTCTCTCTCTCTCTCTCTCTCTCTCTCTCTCTCTCGTTCTCTCTCTCTCTCTCTCTCTCTCTCTACCACCCCCTGTGTATACCCATTACGTGTTTCATACTTTAATGTTACCAAAACATTGTTAAAACTACTTCCTATACATAAGGGGACTGTGTGGTTTCGAGGCATGGCTTCCGCCTGGAGTCCTGGGTTCAGGACCCGGTGAAGGCTGGGTTGTGCCTGGGAGCTGAGACACTACAGCAGAGGTTCTCAAACTTATTTTCGCGCGGCACTTTTGTCAGGCTAAAACAATTTCGCGGCACACCTACCATTAAAGTGGTTGAATACTTAAAAAAAAAAATAAAAACTAAAATAATTGCACATGTAATGTTCAGTTGTAATCTGGTAATCTGGTAATCTGGTAATCCTAGTTTCAGCATCATAGCAAACGGGTCACCCCATTGTTGCTCCGCTCCTGTGCCAACGAAAAACACTCGTAGCTCACAGTGTCACACCATGCACTCAACTCAGAAGCTGGGTGACGAAACTATATCCTTCCAGTCTACAAATGGAGCAAAAATGCAACGGCCACCGCCTGGCAGAACTGCCACGGCTTTAAAAAAAAAAAAAAAAAAAAAAAGTGGTCGTGCCTAGTGTCCACTGTGACTTGAAGCATTTTGTGAGGGGTTAACAAATGGTCACCCCAGCAGTACCCTCACTATTAGCTGGGAAAGGGACTTAGGACATTACATCCACCAGCAGGCGTCGCCCCTACAACGACCTGACTGCCTTCGTTAACGACTGTTCACCCAACAGCCATGCAGTTCTTTGGCACGAAGGAGACACCTTGAACTTGGGTTTCAGAATGCCGACTTCCTATAAAATGTTATTTTGTGTTTTGTTATCACAATCGACGTCACTGCACATTGGGCATACCCATGCGTGCGCAGTCCTCCGAAGCAGCAGCCACTCCAAAGTACTTCTACTAATTGTCCCCATGAGAAGCTGGTTATATTGTCTCCTTTCTCGGCCTCGCAGACGGCAAAGACGTGCTTCACCATGCTTAACTCCCATGTCACGCAATCGTGTTAGTGTCAGGGATTCGATATTATCCACTAGCCCAGTACGTACAGCGTTAACGATATCTGCTCTGTCCATGCTTTTTCCCGCAATCATTAGTGCTGTGCTTGCCAGTTGGTCCGCTCGCTCATTTCCCTTTACGCCCGCATGACCCGGTGTGTAGATCCAGGTTACGGAAGTTAAGTGCGATTTCCGAATGCTTTCTATCCATTCAGAGCGCATACTGCCTGTTGCTATTTTCTGAAGCATATTCATTGAGTCTGAGACAATTACTGCTTGTGTGGCGGTTTTGCTCGGATACCCATGCTAAAGCTCTAGAAGCAGCGGCTATTTCCATGGTCATGCTTGACGTGGTTGTCTGGTAAGCGCCGCTGTCCTCATGTATTGTTTTCCCCCTTCTTTGCGCTGTGTATGCCCATGCTGACCTTGATCCGCGCTTCACGGACCCATCTGTGTAGATGATGATATCTTCTGGGTCTGAATGCTGATCTATCAGTTCCCTTACTTCTGTGTCTATGGCCGCAGGAATCTGATCCCGACAGTACCTTCCTAGTGTGATGACAACCTTAGAGATGCCATGCATGTCTACTGGTGTATTCATCCATTCTTTTCCGTGCCTGATAACGCGTAGGTCACATACCTGCTGGATCAAATTCTCAGCCTTTGCCATCCAAGAGCGGCCTCTTTTGAGACGCGTTCCTTTTGTGTCGTATATAGCTTTGTGCAATGGGTGGTTAGCGTCTGCCGATACCCTCATGTAAGCCTTGACTTGTGCCACTTTGTATCTGCTAGTCATCGTTGGCAAACCCAGGACATAACGCATGGCGTTGCAGGAGGTGTCTTTTGTGCAGCCGAGTATGAGTCTCATGGCCTCATTTTGTACTCGGTCCAGTCTTTCTAGCTGGGTTTTGCTGACAGTGAGGAGGCCAAGACCATAGTCAATGACGCTAAGCACAAGCCCTTGATAGAGAAGGAAAAGTAGGCGTTGTTCAATATCAGCTGCTGCTAGCACCTTGAGTGCTGTCAGACCTTTTCTGGCTCTAAGTATGACGTTGTCTACGTGGCATTTGTATGACAAGCATCTGTCAAATGTCATACCCAGGTATTTCATGGTGTCCGTTCTCTCAATGTCCACACCACATATGCTTACGACTGGCGTTGGTGTATTGACGATGTGAGTATTTAGAGAGAACCATGTTAAGGAGGCTTTGGACGGGTTCACTTGAGCTCTTGATTCCTGGCACCACTCACTAAGTCTGTCCAGTTCGTGTTGTAGTGTGGTTGTAATTTCCTGCCTGTTTTTACCTCGACGGTAAACAAGAATATCATCTGCATACGACATTGTTCTACCTAGACCTACGCGTTGTGCACTAGTGACTCCTGCTGTGTACACATTGAAGAGCACAGGCGACAGTGGTGATCCCTGTGGCAGACCCATTAGGACTCGTTGAGGTTCGGATGCCCATTTACCACATCGAAGCGACACTGTTCTTTCAAAAAACGCTGCTGCTATCCAGTTGACCAACTTTGTCTCTATCTGCATATCCAACAGCAGTCTGATGAGCATGTTGTATGGGACGCTGTTGTACGCATCTTCTAAGTCAATAGCGGCTGCAGCAGTTTCCATTCCCTCCTGGAAACCCTCATATGTGTCGTAAGCAAAAACTGCAGCATTGCACCATGTATCTCTTCCTGGTCGGTAACCTCCTAGTGTAGCGGGGAATAGACCACCCGACTCTAATTTTTGGGTTAACGTTCTGGCAACGATTTTTTCCATGAGTTTTCCTACCGTGTTCTGAAGTGTTATGATCCTATAGCCATTTATTCTCGTGTGGTCTTTTCCTGGCTTAGGAACTGGTCTGAGATAGCTGTGGAGCCAGTCATCAGGAATAATGCCAGTTTTCATGGT